CTCCTCCCCAGACACAGCCCCAGCTACCCCCTTCTTGCACCTGAAGTTGTTTTCAAACTTTTTGAGCTAAGGGTTCCACCGGTCTGGATTACAATTTTTGGTGCCATGCAGAAATGGCCCACGCCCCACTGCTTCTCCCTCTTGCCCGCCTCCCCCCGTCCTGCCTCCAGAGAGACCCCCTGGTATGAGACTTTCTCAGTGGGCAGTGAAAATAAGAAGCAGTTTATATGCCCGCAATCCAATCGCTTTTAGAGATGGATGTCTAGCTTTTTTTAATTTTATATTATTTTGGATTTTTTTAAATATAAATAACTGAATCCCCAGCAACAGTAAATCTTAAGGGTTAGGACCATGAATATGAACTGGATTGTCTGTCCCAGCAGTGTTGTATATGAGGACGGTGTAAGTGTATGTCTCAATCAAATCTCCATTCTCAAGAGCTGTTATTGTATCCAGAGGAACTGTTTGATAGCTGCAGCCACTAGAGATGTTAGCGAATAGTCGACTACCTGATGAGCATAAGCTGGAGTATCAACTACTCGCTTCCCCTCCTCCCCCACTTGCTGCCTTTCAGAGGCAATGGGGCGGGGAGGGGAGGCAGGATCCAGTGCTGAGGGGATTCAATTTAAAAGCTGTTTTTCCCCCCAGTGCCATCTCCATGGTGCCACCTGCCCTCTCCCTCTTCCCCCCCCTCCCCCCATCAGAGGCAGCAGGTGGGTATAGGCTGCTGCAACGCAGCCTCTGCCCGTGGCAGGCCAAGGCTTGCCATGGACAGAGGCTGCTCCGGCATCAGCACTTGTCCATGGGGGTTCCAGCAGCCTCTGTTGGCATCAGACAAAGCTGGCCGTGGCAAACAGGCTGCTCCAGCGGCAGACGGGCTGCTGGACTCAGTGCAAGCTGGGACCAAGCAGTTCTGGCTCGCGCTGGACTGGGATGCTGCACTTCTGCATTTTAAATGTAGTCAGAGTCCAGTGTTTAAATGTAGTAAGAGCTGTAGCATGGGTGGCTCCCAGAGCCGGGACTGCTCAGTCCCTGGTCGAGCTGGCTCCTGGAGCCACCCCTGCTGTGGCTCTGCACAGCGATCCTTATCAACTAATCATGTAGTTGATACAAATTGTATTGACCACATGATTTAGTCAGATAACCACCATTTAATATCCCTTGCAACCACCCTAGTTCCATAAGAGACCCTTTGCTTTTCATCCCAGATACACAGAAGAAACTGGGTTATGCTGCTACAATGAATAGTGTGACAATTTTTTCTTTTTATAACCAGATATGCTAGTGATGACAGGTGGGGGTTTCCAAAGCACTCTGAGCCTAGCACTAACGCCTTTAATGTCAGTGATAACTCCCATTTATTGCAGTAACAGCAGAGTGAGGTCAACACCACTATGTGATGCTTAGTCCGCCTCCCTAGTTTGCAGTGTGTGAAGCCATCATTCATGAAGTTGAGCTGTACCTTGGCTGTCTACTTTAAAAAAATCAATGTACATTTCTCAAATTGGAGCCCTAAGGGAGTCTTATCTTTTGCTAAAATAAAAAGTGATTAGCCACAGTGCAAAGGAAACTGTTTAACCTGATCCTAATGTTTTAAATAGGAGAAGGAAGAGAGGATGAACTCTGAAATGTTTGTGCTTCAGGGAAACTTTTTCATATGCCAATACTACTAAAACACCCAAGCACTGTTGTTTTATGTCCAGTTGAATTTTTATCGTTTATATTAATACTTTTGTAAGTTTGTTTTTCAATTTTCCTTTTTACAGCTTCTGTTTTCATGTACTTTTATTTAAAAAAACCTCAATTTTGGGTCTAAATTACTGTATATGTACCTGTAACATGTTAAGATTGTGGGGTTTGAAAGTTTGCTCACTTTACTTAGCATAAGCTTGCTTTTTTTTTATTTGTTTTTAGGCTATATTAAACAACAACAAGGAGAAACTACCTGTGGCTATAAATCCATCAGTTTATGACAGGAATAAAATTTTCAAGTATGTATCTATAAACTAAATGCCTTCAAAATGCTTTCAATTCCTTGGCCGTATCAATGTTGTATTGTCCTGGGATACGAATTTCCATGGTGCTTTCTTAACTTTAAAAGCTCTGCAAAAGCAGAGGCTTTTTTCCATGAGTACTAGTAACTTTGGGTATGTTTAGATTACATACCTCTGCTGACAGAGGCATGTAAAATAGGCTACCCGACATAGTCAATGAAGCGGGGATTTAAATATTCCCGGCTTCATTACAATAAAAATGGCCTCCACGCTGTGCCGGCTCAGCTGATCGTCGGCACAGCGCGCGAGTCAAGATGCGGATCTGTCGACAGGGAATGCCTTCGTCGACCGTCCTGTAAACCTCGTTTCACGAGGCATAAGAGAGCAGTTGACAAAGGCATTCCCTGTTGACCAATCCGTGTCTTAACTCGCACGCTGTGCCGAGGATCAGCTGAGCCGGCATAATGTGGCGGCAATTTTTATTTTAATGAAGCCGGGAATACTTAAATCCTCGTTTCATTGACTGTCGGGTAGCCTATTTTACATGCCTCTGTCAGCAGAGGCATGTAATCTAGACGTACCCTTTGTGGGCTCAGGAGCCCTGGTACTCGCTGAAAGAGGTAAAACAAGAATGACTTGAAAATAAATGTTCAGTTAGCAATATCCCTTTAAGCAATATCTTCCATGTCTCTCTGTAAATGTAGGTCAGTGTTAAGAACTACCTTGACAAGTGTTCCTTGATAGCAGGAGATTGTTTTGTTTTTTGTCTTTGGTAAAGGCTATTGCTTTCATGCTTACAGGATTTTTTTAAATCCCCTTTTTGAATGGCACTTATGAAGGGAGAGCTTACTCTTTTTAACCCAGCAGTATAGACTAACTATATTTAGGTGAGTACTCTACGTTTCCCTGTGATGCTGTGCAGTGTTGAGGCTTATGGAGACTTCCTACATGACTTAATACTCATGGGAAATGGATTCATTGAAATCTTACTGTGCTGGGAGAAGGTGACACACTTGTCAGTTGAATTATTAATCAGTAAAAAGTGCATCCAGCTTTTCTGCTGAGGAGACTAAATGTCTGGTGCACAGCTAGCAGCAAAAGTCTATTAAGATATAGTGGAATGACTTACATTCTTTTTAAGAGAGAATAGCCAGCCAGACAAAATGATGCCTAAACATCATGTGAATGAAGACTTACCAGTAGGAATGTAAAATCCCGTTGAATCAATTAAACATAATGTAACATTTAATTACTTAAACAATGGGTGATTGGGGGGCTGCTCCTGCTCAGATGGACACTGGTTAACCAGTAAGCATCAGCTTTATGGGTTAACCTCTGGTAAGTGGAGATATCAGGGGCATTTACTGTCCCTTGAAAGGGTGAGGTGCCCTTCTCCACTGTCCATTTAAAAGCTTAATGTCTTGTCTTTTGGCTCAGTGCTAGCCACCAAATAGAGGAGGGTGTGTTTCCATTGTTGGTTCTCTTCTGTGGCTGTAGGAGGGTTTTTATTTTGAAGAAAAAGTATACTTGATGCATTCCCAGCTTTAGGACATGTTCTTTCTGCTGGCTAGGCTTGTACTCCGCCCCTGCTGAGGTTGTTAATGGCAGTGTCTCTATGGGTATGTGCTGTGATGCTCACCACTTCACAGAATGAGCAGATTTAAATGAAGTCCTGTTGGTGAGGGCAAACTGAAGGAAAGCAATATCTTCCCCGAATGGTATCAGAAAATCCCTGTCTGCAGGCAGCTTGGACCCCGGCCACAGACAGGAGCGTGGGGCAGTAGGCGGGAGGCAGTCTGTTTGGAGTGGCAAGGGGCTCCCCACGAGTGCAGCTGGGAGTGCACTGGCTGCCAGCCCCGCCTCCGGGGACTATTGAATAGTAATGTAACTGATAATATATTGTGCAGTTACACAATTATTCAATTCATCTGTAACATCCCTACTAGCCAGTATTTCCACTAAGCCCACTGAGATCTTTGTTTATACCTTATATACTACGCACATTGCAAGGAGGAGTTCCTCATTCCAGCTCTTCCAAATGTCTGGTGTTAATATCTCTGTGCACTAATTTTGAACCAGAGTAACTGTTATTGACAGAGAACCTTGTGCAACCTCTGTTACCTTATTTCAGGCAGAGCTGTCACTAGACCACAGGTATAGTAACATGACAGATCCAAATTCAACCATGCTACCAAATTCCTTATATCCATGTCTCTAATCACTGAAGAACAGTATTCTTGCAGAGCTGGAAATGGAACCCTGGACTCCTGATAGCCAGTGTTCCAATGCTGTTCCTCCAATAATTATGTAGCCAGCTGGTAAAATATTTCCATGCTGTGCTCCATACTGTGCTGTAGGGACTTAATCACATATGATAATCTAGCACTGCTACTGTTTGCACCTATAGCTCAAATGGGAGACATCTGTGCATGGATCTGGAGGCCCTGTTCTTATCGTGGGTCCAAATTCTCATGAGATGTGGGGAAAAACACTATGTGATCATGTAACTAAAGATTATATCTAGTACATAGGCTCAAGACTGTAGCCAGTGCACAGGCAACCTCCCTTGGGCACTTCCAAACTTAAAATGTCTGACTTAGGTCACAGGTTGCCCAGCCTACAACTTGTGGGCCATGCACATCCAATCAGAATTTTTCATAAGGACTGTGGTCTGCTTCAACACCATATACTAACAACTGACTAGCATTTTGTTCTCATTCATATGATCATTTTAATTTGTTCAAGCAAATAGACCATACTGTACATAGATGGCTTTTATCTTAATCTGTATGAAAAAGCTCAATTTAAATTATAAATCAACACTCGTGATTTTAAATCTGGTTGGCCTACAACACTGGTGACCTTAAATCTGGTTGACCTACACATGGCTGTGCGTTAGTTATGTGGCCTTTTTGAATATAAGGTTAGTCAATGTTTCAATATCTGTAAGATGAAATTCACTTCCTCATTAGCATAACTGCAATGAGGTAAACACAAGAATATGACTTTTCTTTGGCTTAAATTTTTCAAAGTGGAAAATAAAGATCTGCTGCTCTGAATAAGAACAGAGGGACATAGGCCGTAGTGCTCACCATCAGTTATATTTGCAGAATTTAAAAAATTGGCTTAAGTTATAGTCCGTTAACAAATGTCTTCTGAGAGCCATTAATTTTGGTTTAAGGAGGAGAAACTGCTCTCATGTTAACAGAGTATGTATATCCTTTCTTCCAGGGTCTACACAGACCTTCCTCAAGTCATCAATAACTTGAAACACCCACGTTTTGAGTTCACAGAAGATGAGGGAGAAGCAGATATCCTCTACAATTTTTCCCACTTCAAAGATTACAGGTTACAGCTTTTTCCTTGCAAGTACACATAATCTAGCTGTCGTATAAAAAGCTCCATTCCATGGAATGGCCTTTAAGTGTCCTCTTATCGCTTGTAGGAAACTAAGTGCAGAGAGACCCCATGTGATGTTGAATCAGTTTCCGTGTGAGAATCTACTCACTGTCAAGGATTGCCTAGCATCTATATCAAGACGAGTTGGAGGGGCAGAGGGTCCAAAATGGTTGCCTCGTACTTTTAACCTTCGCACAGAATTACCCCAATTTATCAGCTACTTTCAGCAACGTGAGAGGAGGTGAGCCATGTTGCTATTGCTGCTTGTCTTGCAATTTCCTATCCAACTTTCTCTAAGTACCAGTGTTAATAGCTCAAAAATGTGTAATGTGACATACCTTGAAATATGTAGGGTAAAATCATAACTCCATTGAAGTCAGTGGCAAAATTCCCAGCATTTGCCCCATTGCATTTAAAAAATGATTAAGATAGCTTTCTCTGGGTCAATAGCAATTAAAAGCAGTTAAAATTGGAGATGTTAAATTTTGTTTAATCAGCTAATTGAGGCGGAATTTCCATCAACTAGTCAATTAGGGGGAAATGGCAGAGCCACAGCAGGGTTAGCTCCTAGCCCGGGGAGCCAGCCCCTCTGTGGCTCTGCCTTTTTGAATGTAGTAACAGCTGTCTGACGCTTACTACATTTTTAAAAGGCAGAGATGCACCAGGGGACTGGGCGTGAGCTCGAAGAGCTGATTCCCGGCTCGTGCCCAGTCACCCACTGTGCCTCTCCCTCCTCTGCCCCCCGCAGAGACAGTTCTGGGGGGAACCTGCTTTTAAGACCATACTGTACATAGAAACAAAATGCAGGACAATGTAGCACTTTAAAGACTAACAAGATGGTTTATTAGATGATGAGCTTTCGTGGGCCAGACCCACTTCCTCAGATCAAATAGTGGAAGAAAATAGTCACAACCATATATACCAAAGGATACAATTTTAAAAAAAGTGAACACATATGAAAAGGACAAATCACATATACTGTACATAGGGGACTCTTTCATATATATTTAGATAAAAACACAAGTTAAATTTATAAATCAACACTGGTGATTTTAAATCTGTTTTGGCCTACACAAGGTTGTTCTTTAGTTGTGGCCCTTCTGAATATAAGGTTAGACAAATACACGCGAGGAATGATGTAGATAATACTTAGTCTTATTTTGTAACTGATTCTTACTACATTTCTCAAATTAGCTTTAAAGGTAAACATCTTAAATTGGGGGTGTTGCTGCATACCACCTTAACAGAGTGCTGTTTCAGTATCTGTAAGATGAAATTCACTTCCTTGATAGCATGACTGCAATGAGGCAAACACAGAAATATGACTTCCCCCCCATCCCTTTAGGCTTAAATTTTTCAATGTGGAAAATAATCAGAGGCAGCAAGGGGGCAGGAAGCGACTAGTCGAGTAGTCACTTGACTACCCAATAAGTCCATGCTACTTCTCGACTAGCCGCTTACATCCCTAGTTAAAATTAGTGTGGTGGTGTCCAAATTTTCTTGCTTAAAACACTTCATTTTCACATGAAAGTAGAAATCAAATTTAGGGTTAATGCTGGACTTCCTCAGGGTATGTCTACACAGCAGTGTTATTTCGGAATAACTGACGTTATTTCAAAATACCGGCAAGCTGGAGGACTTCTTGCTCCATCCAGTTCCTGTGAGTCGAATGAAAAGTGTTCTTCCTTCAACTTCCTGCTGTGAAGACAGCGCCAAAAACAAAGTTAAGCTATTTCACTTCAGCTACACAATTGACATAGCTGAAGTTGCGTAACTTAATTTGACTTTTGCCTGCTGTGTAGATGTGCCCTCCAAGAGACTAAGAGAACTGAATCTGTTCTCCAGATGTGTCCTATGTTACCTTTCTCATAGTCAACTTCCTGTCACAATAGTCCCCTCTGTATCCAGGAGATCTGATAATAACAAGAAATGTTTGTTAGGATATGTCTACACTTACAGCTGGATATACAGTTGACACTGTGAGACATGACTTAGGCAAACAGAGTAGATTAAAAGACACCTCAACTGCCGGGTTTTATTCTGCACACAGGCTCTTAACATTCCCAAGAAGCATTTCTCTTGTCTACACTACTATTTTTTAGCAGGGTAGTGTCCTGTTGCCGGAGCTTTTTCCCGCTGTGGGGAAAGGTTCCGGCAGAGGATAGGCAGCAGGGAAAGGCTCCAATTACCGAAGCCTTTCACTGTGGAATGTAGCAGCATTGACAAGTATGTACAGCTGCATTTCACTGCCGAGTGTAGCTACATTTGTCCCTCTCCTTGTATGCTGTCATAAGCATAGACATAGCCTTGATGAGGGAGAAGTGAAGTTAATGTCTTGCTCCTCCATCAAAATAATCCTTATCTGGTATTGCACTTAATTCTCTGGTTCTTCTCGGGTTTGTGATTGATGGATGATGATGATGATGTTGTGACCATCTAGCTGCTTCCCCCTTTTCTCAAGATATTGTTTAACTCCTGAATGGGCTTAACCATAAGGGGAAATTTTAAATGTATGTTCTTATTGTGCAGCGTTCTTGGTTATACACTTAAGCTATGTCTCCACTTCCACAAAAAAAGCGGCAGAGGAAATGCAAATAGAGCACTAATTAGCATATTTTGTGCTCTCATTTGCATATTCTTCTCCGATCCCTTTTGTGGAAGAGGTTTTTGCGCAAAAAAAGCAGTGTAGATGGGGGCATTTTGTGCAAAAAAAAAAAAAAAAACCTTTTGCGTAAGAACCCTTATTCCTCATAATGATTCCCCATGAGGAATAAGGGTTCTTGCACAAAAGAGGTTTTTTGCGCAAAATGGCCCCGCCTACACTGTGGGGTTTTTTGCGCTAAAACCTCTTCCGCAAAAAGGATCGGAAGCAAATATGCAAATGGAGTGCTAATTAGCATATTGTGCACTCATTTGCAGTTCCTCTTCTGCAAAAAAGTGGCAGTGGAGATGTAACCCAAGTGTACATGCGATAAGTGATCATGAAGCTGTGTGCACTGAGGAGGGAGTTTCAAAATAAACTTTCGGTTAAAACACAGATCTTTCACTACAACTAGTACTGTATTCTCGTACTAAAACATAACCACAGGCAACCTTTCAGATAACCCAGAGAACGTTCTCTGCATGCCTTCACAAATCCATTGGGGAAGGTGGGGGCTTCAAGGTCGCACTGCCACTGTTCAGTAGCATGCACATTATGTAGACATGCATATTACTCCTACTTGGGCAAAGCTTTTCAAAGAGTTCAGCTCTCTTGTTCAGTGGTCTCCAAACTTTTTTGATAATGCACCCCTATCAGTAAAAAAAATTTTGAGCACATGCCCCCAATATCTGTGTGTGTGTGTGTGTGTGTGTGTGTGTGTGTGTGTGTATATATATATATATATATATATTTTTTTAAATTTACTTTCTCCTTTTTAAATTGTAGTCTGCTTGATCTTTTGTGCTCTTCAGTTGTTTTCTGGCATGGTATCTTAACAACCCTCTAATGCAGTGGTTCCCAAACTTTTTGGCATCACGCCCACTTTTTGATTTTTGAAAAACCTTCATGATGCCTCCCCCCCCCCAAAATAGCAGCAAAAGTTGGGGTGGGATTGACGAGAGGGTGGCAGGGTCACCGCGCCCCCCCCCAGGAGGCACGTCCCCCAGTTTGGGAACACATGCTCTAAGTTTCCTCCCATGAGCAGAATGAATGTTGTGTTGTGCACCAGTACTGAGGTCATGTGGCTTGTTTGGATGTGCCACTGTGGCACCCAACTTATTAATAAATATCTTATAAACCTCTACCTTTTCCCTCTGCTGCCATGTCTCCTATACTTGCTCCATCAGCTCCTCTGATGCCTGCTGCCCCCACACCCTCCTCTGCTGTCCTGACTCCTGCCCTTCTCCCTGCCCTCAACCTTGCTGTGACCTGCCCCCCTCCACCAGCCCTTCTCTCCCCCCTGGGCCCACACCTCCAGTAGCCCCACTCTGATCATGTGAGCTACCTACCTCTACACATCTTCCCTGCCTCTCTCCTCTAGTGCTGGTCCCTCCCCTACAAGTGTCTGCCCTTCTGCTTCACCCCCGGCACCTGCACCTTCCTTTACCCCTGCACCCTTCTGGTGCCTCCTCCTTCCCTCACTGTCCCTGCCCCCTTTGCCCTCTTTTTCCCTGATGCCCGCCCTCTCACATGCCTTTCTCCATCCCCAACCCTCCTGGTGCCTCTCCTCCCTCACTGCCCCGTGCCCTTTGTCCTCTTTTTCCCTGATGTCCACCCCCTCACCACCCTCTGCCCCCATTCTCCTCATGCCCCTGTGCCCTCACACATGCCTTGCTCCATCCCCACCTTCCTCATGCCCACCCCTCCTTTTAAGCCTTCTCCCAGCACCTCTCCCTCCCCCTTTAACCTCCAATGCCCTTACCCTATCTCTCCAAGCATCACCCTGTCCCCGCTCCCACTGACATCTCCCCTCCTGCCCTTTTCCTCAGTGTCTCCACTTGGCCCCCTGGCATTTGTCTCTCCTCCCCCCTGTCCCTTGGTGCCTTCCCCTTTCTTCTCCTGACCTGCCCTCCTCTCCTCTCCTCCCCTCCCCTCCGCTCCCCTCCCCTTCCCTTCCCTCAGCACAAGCCCCTTCCTCTCCCATCCCTTCCCCCTATTTTTCCCACACCCCCACCCCCTTCCTTCCAGTTTGAGTCTGTGAGGTGGGCCGCATGGTTTTAAAGTCCCAGGCCCTGACGTCACAGCATGCCTGGGCATCTCCCCTCTCATCTGTTGTGCGGGTGTTTGAACACGCTGCGCATGCGCTCCCTCGGATGTCTTGCGAACCAGGCATCTCCCTTCTCAGCTGTTGCGCAGCAGCATGTGCTATCTCAGATTGTCTCGCACACCCCCTCGGATTCTCACATGCACCCCCTCGGGTAGGTAGGAGAGAGTGAGGAGAAAGCATACTCTCTTGAGCATGACAGACGTGTTTGGGTGAGGATTCATCTTACAATATTCAATGCTCAATCCCCAGAGAAAATAACTATATGTAATGTAACTTGGCTGGCTCAGAAGTGGCTGCAGAGAATCTGATTTACAAGTTTTAAAGCACCCACCAAGAATGTCTCAGACTTTCTGACCAGCTAGTCAAAGTGGTCTCTTGATCTAGCAACAAGCATTTGATGTAGTCATGGTATGTGTGAAAGGAAAAGGGATTTATTAGCAGACGCGTGGTGGGCCCTTACTGAAAAAGAAAGTGAGAACCTCAAAATCCTAATTCTAAATAGCTGTGACCCTGGAGTTCATTGTTCTTGCACCCTCACCCGCTGACAAATGAGATGTACACACTGACATGCTGTGGCCTTGACTGGGTTGTGGTTTTCTTTTCTTTTTTTTTTATTGTAGGGGAGAAGATAATCACTGGATATGCAAACCATGGAACTTGGCCAGAAGCCTAGACACCCACATAACCAACAATCTTAACATCATCATCAGGCACAGGGAAAGCAGCCCAAAGGTAGAGTACAGTGGGCTTCCCACTTGGCTTGAAGCACTTTTTTAATGTTTATTCTGACAGAGCAACCAAAAAAAAAAGAAGGAAATTTAGTTTCCTCCTTCAAAAAGTTGTAACAGCTGGTATGTTTGAGCACAAGTATCCTGAAATAAATATCTTTACATTGCGCCAAGGCCATGTTAGAATATTTTTCTATTTGCTCATAGCAGACCTGTCTCTTTAGGACAGAAATAAAATGTGCCCTTACGTTCAAGTCTTGATTACTGTGTTGCTGCTTCTGTGCCACTCAGTAAGAAATCAAAGAAGATGATTAATTCTCACTTGCATGTAGTGTCTGTTGGCTGTAAATATAAAAGTGAGTGAGTGCTGCTTCCCTCAGGTAGTCTTTGAGTGTTCTTATGCACAAAATGCTTTTTCAACAATGACACGTGACTTTATATTATAAGCCAACAGTGTGGTCTTACATAAGACTACTACATAAGCTTTGTCTAGAGACTTAATAGAATCTATATTTTGAATTGCATGCCTCTCTTGGAATTCATATCTCAAAATAAAAATGCATGAAGAATTACAACAACACTTCAGTTCAGAAGAAAGCTGATTTATAAAGTGAGACTTGTTTGTTAATTTTTTTTAAGTATGGCATTAAGTGTTTCTGTAAACTAGCCAGCTTTTGAAAAGCCATCTTAAAGGCGTGTTTCTATTACCAGTAAACCAAATTAAGCAGTGTGGAATTAGGAAGTTAAAGCACTTTGTTTTGCATCTTATTGAGCATTTTATAAACAAAAGGAAAATATTTCATAGTACTGAGAACCTTGATAAAATTACTAGAACCCGGTCTTGGGTGCTGCAGGACATACTTAACTTTTATGGCATCCCTAGATAAGGCTGCATGTAGCATTGCTGGTGCCCCTTGATAGCTATAAATGTTCCTCACTCTCTACCTGGATGGCTCGCTATCTACCCTTCCTCAATGCTTACTGTGTCCATTGCTAGCCTTGTCACATACCTCCTCTTCTCCTAGATAAGTAGGGCTGAGGAGCTGGAATAAAAGCAATTATGTTGTCATTTATTTTTTGGAAAAGTATTCTAGGACAATGAGATGATGTGTTACAGTTAGGCCATCTAAGGAGGAAAAAAAATATTGGATTGAAACTTATGAAAAGATTTATTTGCAAGCAGAGAATAAAACAGACTTCAGTGCAATGATGAGGGCAGTACTTTAGTTCTATATCCCAGTCGGAAGAAAGAGTACACTCAGGCTGTTTGGTTACAAACAAAGGCTAAATTGCTTATATTGAGAAACTATGAAAAGGAAAAGTAGGTTTAATGCATGCTGGTAGAATAGATCTGGGACTGTCCCAATCCACTGATGCTTGTTTCTGTCATCACCTACTATGCATCTTCATTCCTTAGGGTTTAATTGTGTCCAATCTCTGTTTTTGTTTTAGGTAGTATCTAAGTATATTGAGAGCCCAGTGTTGTTTCACCGGGAAGATGTGGGGATGGTTAAATTTGACATTCGTTACGTTGTGCTTCTGCGATCCATAAAGCCACTCAACCTGTATGCTTATGATGTTTTTTGGCTGCGGTTCTCAAATCGGTAATAACTTTTTTTTCTTCCCCCCCCCCCCCCCCCAGGAGTGAAGAAGTTAGCGGTGTTAAATTGTGATGCCTTGCCTTTCAAAGATCTTACGTAATTAACACAGTCTCTTTCCTTTATTTGATAGTGCATTTTCTCTTGATGACTTGGATGACTATGAGAAGCATTTTACCGTCATGAACTATGCTCCTGGTGTAACCTTAAAACAGGTAAGCAAGTGAGACGCAAATGTCTTCCATCCAATCAAGATACTGATCCTGTATCTATGACTGTCATCAGATGCATACCTAATGCATAGCTATCTAAATAAACTTGACAGCTTGTACCTGCCCTGCAGCTATTTTCTAAAATTGGGGGACCCAGAAGAAACAGTTACAGGTTATGGCACAAATTTATCTCTCTCATCAAATCCATATTAAAAGAACATCTTACCAATCCCAAACTGATGCTTTACTGTAGTATTTTCACCACATAGTAAAAAGCACTGTTTGGTAGAAATGGGAAAAGCTTGGAACAAATAGTTCTCATTTCTGCCCTGTATAGGTGGTGAAATTCCCCAGGACCTTATTTGGAATTTATAGTATGTGTTTATAGTGTCTGCAGCTTATAGTCCTTTAAAAAAATCCTAGCTCACAATGTGAATAGTCTAGCAAACCAATTTCTAATGCCATTTAATTTATTTTAGGTTCACTGTGATGAATTTATTCCTCTATTTGAGAAGCAGTATCCTGAATATTCCTGGAAAAATGTGCAAGTAAGTCACCAATCCATCTTCCCCATATGAAATGGCCACTAAATAAATATTTTTTTTTTTTAAGCAAAGATGTTTTTCAAAGGCTCGTGTGCTTTTGCCTTTGAGTAGTGAGCAAATGTCTCTTTGGTGCAGCAAAAGTTAGTAGTCTCATAATTTTAAAGTCTGCAAATACAAAAAGTTCCGCTGTCTATGTTACTGTTATATTAGAGTGTAAGCTTTCTCCATTTTTATGCTTGTGAATAAAATTGGTATTGATGGACGAACACTGGAGATTGAATGCTTCAAAATGCTGCTGAACTTGCTGTAAGACTTACCCTTAGCTCCAGAATGGTGCATAGAATATAAACTTTCATTTAAAACACTTAACAACCACAGAAGCTGGATTATAAACAGTCAGTGGCTGCAATGATATCCACATGAAGCCTGAAACAGCCGTTCTTAACATGTGAACCTGTCCTTCCATTTCAGTGGGTTAATGCTGATATTGAAAAATTGCAGTTTAAATACCAACAGTGTTAAAGTCCAGAAACAAAAAAAATTTAGGCAAAGTTATTCAGAATCTTTGCTGACCTCAGTCCTAAGGTGGGGAACTATTTAATTTTATAGTAAGTTTACTATAGTGATCGAGATTTTGGAATTGATTTTTTCCTATTTTTTTTAAATAAAAATGTTTTTTCCTGTGGGATGACAGCACACCATCATCACGCACTCTGCATCCCTCAGCCCCTCCCTTCCACCTCCTCTATCCTTCCCTGGTGCTCTGCAGCCAGTGGGAAGGGCACAGGGCTGTGTGGCTTTCCTCCCCTCATGGATGAGGTGGAGCCAGGGCAGGCCAGGCCAGGCCTGCCACGCCTCGATCTGCCCTCCCCGGGCAAGGGGGGTTGGTGATTCGAGCATAGCGAGCTGGGTTTACTGCCCTCTGGTAATCTATGAACTACATAAAGCTGATGCTTGATTTGAATTCTGCAGCACCCTTACAAAACAGCTTTTGAGGACTTTGTTTACAGAATCTAGGTCCTTCTTGCTGTGTAGCGTACACACTTCTGTACAGCCTGCTGTGTACGCATACATTAACTATTCTGGCATAGCATATGAAAAGGAGTGCTATGCCAAGTATGCCTTTCTGGCTACTACTCTTGATGTGCTTATGCTATAAGGCTGGATTGTATAGAGCCTACATTTGGATGCCTTTTGGGTTTCGATTTTTTTATTATTATTATTATTATTATTACAAGAAAACAAAGCGCAAATTCATAGTTTAAAAATCTCTTCTCTCTAGTCTTATAACTAGACCCTTCATCAAACTTGTTGAAACTAAAATTTTCCCTTTTTGGGTTGAATTTTCAGTTGCTGCTCTAAGCTAACTCTTAACATGTAATTCTAAACTTGTGAAGATTATCAGAGCTTAACACAAAGACAGACTCCTTAATGTCCTTCCACCACAAAATACTCTAAACGCTGTCGATTCTCTAATGTTGAGAAGTTTTAAATATACAGCCATGCAGAAGCTCCAATATTAAGACTCCATTAATTAAAATGAAAATAGAAAGTGGATTGTGAAGCATTTACTGGGGGTTATTTTGTGGTGGGTGGTTCAGATAAGTTAAAGGCAAAGGTAACTAGTCAATAGTTTGTTTTCCTATTTATCAAGAGCCAGGAAGTGCAGGGATGGTTAATTTGATCCTGCAGACACTTCCATGTGAGTAACTTTGCTTACAGCCACTCCCCGACTTACGAACACACCGACTTACAACCATCCGTACTTGCGACCAACTTCCCATTAACCCTATTACAATATTTTCGAGTTGAGAACCATGTACATCAAGTTTTTCAAACAGCGCGGGCGGTGCGTTTAAGGGTATTTCCGATTTATGACCAAATCGAGTTACGACCAGGTGTTCAGAACGTAACCTGTTCGTAAGTCAGGGACTGCCTGTACTCTTGTTTTGTAGTTTATTTTACTAGTGGTTGTAGGATGAGCCTTAAAATTTACAGAAAGAAAAATCTTTTTTTTTTTTTAAACAGTAGGGGACAAAGTGCCCCTCAAGGAGTTTTCAGGGCAAAGTACTAAGGATTAAACTTTTTCAGGAAGTGCATTTTACTCAATGGATATTAACAAGTCCATGTACCATAAGTCTTTTACATCCCTTTATTTGGTTTCCATATTGTATCCAGAAATATCATCACAATGTGATAATGTTGAAAAAAGTTGTGGGTTTTTTTTGTTTTTGTTTGTGTTTTGTTTGTTTGTTTTTTAATTTGGAACCTTCTATGTATGATAGTAAAATGATGGGGGGGGGGAGGGAAGAGAGAGAAAAGTGGATTGATTTAGACTGGCTTCCAGAATTTCTGTGCTGTAGCTGTTATGCACAGAACAGCTTTTATTACCTTTTAAAGTTTGCACTTCTCCCACTGAGCAGGATTCATAAGTGTAGTGCTGTACAAAATGACCTAAACATGGATTCATTTCCAGCATTATAATACTTTTTTATTTTTATGGATTTCTGTAGTGTATATAGTAATGAGTTCAATTCTGGGTACTCAGCACTTTGAAAAAAATCAGGCCAGTTATTAGACACACACATAGCTCTAGAAGCTTAATTTTAGGCCCCCTATTTTTAAAAATCTTGGATTTGATTAAGTGTGGGGGAACCTATCAAATTATTTCTAAAGCAGTTTGACCCCTTCTGAAGTGTGGAAGGTTCTTGTCTTCAGGCTTGTCATTTGTAACAATATTTAAGGTGTTTGATATGACTCATAAATGAAATTTTCACCTACAAAAGTGAGGAGTTTATTGCAATTACTTCTTTTTTTTTGGCAATAGGCAGAGATTTTTAAGGCATTTGCTGAATTATTCCAAGCTGCTTCAGCTAAACCTGCACCATTTGGCATCTGTGATTATCCATCATCACGAGCAGTATATGCCATTGATCTGATGCTTAAGTGGGATACTACCACAGATGGTAAGCTGCTTTTGTTCTTTGAGAGACTGATTTATTCTCTGTTTTTGTTCTTTAAACTTGGGGGTGCTCTCCATTTTTGCTGTTTTAAAAAAAAAAAACAGCAAGACGGGCTTGATGTCTATACATAAACAGAATGTTTATGTATCTTTGAGGTTTCATATGTGTGAGGATAGAATTTGGTCTTTCTGTTAGTAATAAAAAATATTGAAGCGGTTGCCACACCTCTAATTCTTTTTATTGGCTCCATTTTTGCCACTGCTTTTGCTATTCCGATATAAACTTGTGAAGCTCTTTCCATACCAAGTGAACTAGAGAGAATAGATTATGCTTTGCAGCTATCTATTAATTGTAATAAGGTTTTTTCTGTTGTGATGGTCGTACACCTGTTATGCACAGGTGTGGCTACCTCCTCTTTTCTGATTACTCTTTGTGGCCAGTACACAATCATATGCAGTAAAAACGAATTATAACTTAAAATATAACCATGAGAGCAGTTTTTACTAAAAGTAATGCTAACAAACCCTATGATTTAATTCAACGACAATGTCAATACAGATGGGTAAGAATCTAAATTTTTGTCTTCATCTGTACAAAATGCATTTTTCTTACTGTTCAAATGTCAGCTCAACCGCCTGGCCTTATTTTAGGGATGAGAGGAAGTAGACGGCTAAGTGGGGGCGTTCTGTGGCCTGTGTTGTACAGGTGGTAAGAACAGAATCACTTTCACATTGTCCCCTTCTGACTTTGGGAGGTGAAAGATTTTTGTCCTCCAGCGTAGGAACCCAGCTCTTTCCATACCAAGTGAACTAGAGAGAACAATAAAGCCATACAAAGGAGACTTGTTCCCTTAGAAATCAAGGAGGAAGCAGTCCTTTATGGAAGGTGCTTCTCAAGAGTTGTGGTTAAATAAAATAGATGCACTAATTCTGCCCTAGTTAAAACGGTGCATCTTTCTAATGTGGACAGAATGGAATGGGTTTGGTGTCTCACCATATTATACTGTAGGCCTCAAAAACCCTACCTGCATATGTACTAAAGGTGACACAACCTTCATCCTCTTTCTATGATTTCTGCTACAGCAAATGGAGGTGGCTCCCTGTATTAAAATGTAATATTTTGTTTCTCTTCAGGGAAAAGAACTATGCAGCCTCAGATCCTAGAGGTGAACTTCAACCCTGACTGTGACAGAGCCTGCAAATATCACCCTACCTTTTTTAATGATGTGTTTAGCACTCTATTTCTGGATGAAACAAATAATTGTCATGTGACATGTGTTGTCTAGGCCTAGAAGACTTGATCTGGTTCTTTATTTCCTTTTAGATATGCTTAACAGCAATATTTATATTTCAGTTCTATGAGCTGCTTATGTGACACTTCTTATAAAGGTAACGAAAAATTTTCATCAGATGAATGGGCATATATTGTACTTGTAATCAGTAGTGTGCATTTTCTTGCTTAGTTCTATATCATCAGTTTGTGTTGACTTAAATGTCTCATGGAAGCCTGGAAAAATACAATAGTAACTGGAGCAAATCAGCTGTTTTTGTAGGTAGCCTTGTACACCTTACTTGCATAGCAGGAAGTGTTATACAACTTTCCTGTGTCTGTCTGCATTAGGATAATTTACTGTATCATGATGTTTGAGGTCACCCATCTCTTCCTTTCTGCATAATACCAATGTCATCCTAGCACTAAATGCTTTATTCCACAGAGGATTATGTAAAATAACTTTTAGGTTGTGTGTTTTAGATTTCATTGGAGTTACCAGATGCACAGACATTTATGAAGCTTGTTTTTAATAAAGTATTACAACAATAGTGTTTTTCAATTGAAGGCAACTATACATTCTCAAATGCTAGTCATAACTGCTGTCCTCTTTTTAAAATGGAATGATTTCTATAAATACATCCCAGTCCCATAGTTTGGAGCCATTCAGCAAGCATAGTGTGACCGTGCCCCCGTCCTTGGGCCGTCTTGGGGGGGCGGTCACTCGTCTTTTCGGTTAATTGCTTTAGCCTCGGGCGACGATCCCGTTTATGGTTATGGTTCCCTCGGGAGGGGGGGAAAAAAAAGGGGGGCCCGGGCCCGCCCTCGCTCCCGGGCCCCAGCCCAGGGCCCTGAGGACAGAGACTAGCCGTAAGTCTCTGTCTGACTGGCGGGGGAGTGCCCCTAAACACACCAGCCCATGGGCTATTTCGCCGCCCTGCCCTGGGCTACTTCCTTACTCTCCCCTACCCCGTCTCCAGGGTGTCGGTGCTCCCACCGTCATTGACTCCTGTCGGGACCGTAGACGTCTCTGCGGCTCCTCCGCCGCCGGGGAGTGCTCCCGCAGCCTCTTTGCGCTCCCCCCGCTCTCCTGCGGCCGGCCAGCTTTTAAAGATCCCCGCCGGCCCGGGGGGGTTTACGCACCCCGCCCCCCTTTTGCGTCCACTGCAGTGCGCCCCCTTTCCCCCGCACCTCCCTGGCGGGGCCGCGCCCCGCTCAGCTGTGCCGCCGCGTCTCTCCAGCTGAGCGGCGGCGCCAATCAGCTGAGTCGTGGCTTCGCTCAGCTGAGCCGCGGCGGGCGAGCAGCCGGCACAGCGGCGGTAGGTGCCTCGCTGCCCTTCTGCAAGGGCACAAAGTCTTGGGGGTTGGGTTCGGGGTCTTGGTGCCCCGTCACACATAGTAATGCAGAAATTAGACGGAAACTAGAGCACCTTTCACGTATCAAGCAATTCATTCCTTTTCCACTGCAGTTAGGTAGAATATGGTCATGCAAAATTCTCATTGAGGTTAATGGAAGTCTTACCTAACTAGGGATTTGAGCTGAGCTAGCAAAATAAATGAATAATGAAGATCTGCAGTATAATGAGATAATGGAGACATTGGAGGGGTTGGCTTAGGGGGCATTACAATTGAGAGAAAATATCTTTTGCCAGAAGTCTGAAAAGATGTGGAATAGTGTTATTTTCAGCAAACAATGCAAGAACAAAGGATCCTTTTAATCAGCAATCGAGTTACAGCTCTGAATTGCACCCTCTTGCTCAGTAGTACTGTCCAAATAAACTTAGTGCTGAGGAACAGATAGTTTGCATTAATATTCTTCTTTAAATACAAGTTACATTTTTTGAAATATTATAGCCTTAAAGTTAATATTTTATTTAAATTTTATTTTTGACAAACATTGTAACAATTGCAGATGAGCCAAAGTTTAAAATTGTATCTTTTACATATCTTAACCTACAGCAAGCATAGATGGTTTTTAACCTTGTATTGATGTCAAGGAAGTGAGATGCAGAAAAGGGTTGATTGTCACAATGTATTTTTTTAAACAAGTAGCCCTAATATTCAGTTTGAGGAACTAATGTCTATCAAACAGTGCCCCACCTTTCAGATTTCTGGGAAGCTTCTGGAAAAAAGCGGGCTGTGGGGAAAAAAATACTGGGCCTCAGCATGGCTGCCATGAGAGGAGCAGGGGGGAAGGAACCAGCGGCTGGGATACAGTGCTGGGGCCAGCGAGGCTGTCTCGGTGGAGAGGCGGGCGGGCAGCGGGTCTGTCCTGCAGAGATCCAGCTGGGCAGGCGGCAAAAGCAGGGCTGGGAGCAGGGGGTTTGTCCTGCAGAGATGTGGGTGGCGAAAGCAGGACTGGGAGTGGCGCTGTCCCATGGAGATCCCGGGGCATGTGGGCGGCAGAAGCAGGGTTGGGGGTAGCGTGGCTGTTTAGCGGCGGAAATCGGAGAGGGCAGGCAGCAAAACCAAGGCTGCACGGGGGAGCTGGCCGGGGGAGATCAGGAGGAGGAGGACGGGAGAATCAGCTGCTGGAAGCAGGGCTGGATGGGAGCAGCAGGGCTGGGAAGGGGGGGTTGGCAGAGGAG